TAAGTAGAATTATTCAGGATAGCAACAAAAAGCATTTTTGTTCAAATTCTTTTCCTCAATTTTATTGGTAATTATATAAATTGATCTGCAATAACCTACAAGTTTTTAGCACACTTCATCTACATATTTCCACTTCATTGTGAAGTCCCTCCCTACTCTGAATGGAAACTAATTTGAAAATATTAGAAAGTTAAATTGTTTTAGTCCTTGAGTGTAAAAATCTATTTAACAGTCATATATACTGATTTGTCTACTTGCAAATGAAGAAAGATTTCAACAAGAATATTTTATAACCATCATGACTGATAAACATGCTTGTCTACTAGATAACTTTCATTAAGTATTCTTTAACACACAGTTTTCTTATGTAGAGAAATACCCAAGGAGAAAAAAAGCCCTAAACAAATTCACTATAAAAAGCAGAAAACTAAATTTCAAGAAACTGATATTTCCCCCAGTTTCATCTACCACAACAGAGAGGATTTTAAAAACTGTCACTTTTGTGCATTAGCTAAAAAACATCAAATTCAATCATACTCTAAAAAAAAAATCGTGGAAAAAGTTCAAGACCTAATCGCTGGAAACATCCATTCCTCTCAGATGGCAAAAATTGCTGATAAAAGATCACTTGAGAAGAACTAGCAAGACATCATATCCATCTGACTAAAAAGAAAGTAGTCTTCAGAAAGACTTGATGGAGATAAAAAAAATCTTATTGAAATGAGCAGAGCTGACTGTTCTGAGGATAGCACTGCTGGCCTCCATCACAAGATGTGTGGTCCAGGCTGAGAAGTCCCCCCTACCCATGCATTGCTATGCTCTGTATAGCAGATCTGCATAAGGGCATAGGACTATAGCCAAGACCGTGTACGAATAGTACATTAGACAGCTTAAGTGTGCATCTGGGCAATTCAGTTCTGCTTCTGAAGAAGTAAAATTGCTTCTGACAGGTTGTTAGCCAGGCAAAGAACAGAACTTATCAAACTGGTGAAGCAGATCTCTGGCTGTACAGCACTCCTCATAAAGCAGCCTAGCTCTAAGAGGTGCTCCCTCTTCAGTGGCTGGCCCTTACATGAGCTCAGGGTGCTCCAGTCTGAGTCCATCCCCTTCTGGTCATGCGGGGAGCATACGTGCAAACAATTTGCCTGTGCTCCCTAGGCCAGCCACTCCCCTTCACCAGATGCTCAATCACTAGGTCAAGCCATGACAGAGCAGTTCCCCCTACAGCTATGAACCAGATTAAGATGAACCAAATAAAGTGAAATTAGCACATCTGGAGTGTAATTAGGCATCGATCTTGGATGACACACATTGAACTCCGTAAATAACTTTCTCTGTGCTGACTTCAGAAGGAGTTTGGGTATAGGTGTCCACAGTGCATTTATATAGAACTGATCAAAATAATCCATCAGAGTCCTGTAACACTACGTCATAAAGCAAATTATCAGCTACATGGTATATTTTTCAGCGTGGTCACCACCATTAACTAAGCATTTTCACCAGCAGTAAACAAAAACCTACATTCTATGTTCTTAAAAATCTGCACCAGCAGAATTGACTCACTCTCACTGTTAGCACTGCTGAAACACATCATTCACCACCTCATTGTGCTAATATCCACTGTTTGATCTCCATAAACATTTAGCAAATGCTGGTAAATGTCTGCAAATGCCATTTCTTCAGCATGGCAGAATTCAAGATTCTATGATTCAATGATACACCTTTTCTTCATATACACTTCCATGTCAGACATCATTTTTTCAGACTGCACAGCAACAGAATATAGAAGAATTTTGGCAGGAACGTTCAACTTCTATTTCCATATCAGCAACATTAGCGTCTGACATCTGGCCAAGATAATGAGCGGAATTACATTCAGAGTAACGCTTGTATCATAACAGGAAGAAATTTCAAATCTTCATTTACTTCTGAGTGTGCTTTAAAAATTCAATAGAAAAAAATTAAAAGGAATGTATTTGTTTACTGTAATCTATTTGACCTTTCAAGACACTTTTCTGAAGTGTTTGGACAGGGCACTAGATACAGTGTGCTAGCTAAACTCTTCTAGGCTCCCTTTTCCCACAGAATGTTGGACCTGATGATGTTCCTGGTCCGATCCAACCTAAGAGGGTTGGATGGGACCAAAGAGTATAAAGACAGTGTGTCTAGAGACAACAACATTACAAGTACTTCAGTAACCAGACATATTGATGAATTCTGAAGCATTCAAACAGGTGTTCTCCATGTAGATTCTCCAATGAATGTCTAGAGTGAAATTACCCTCCTGCAAGGATACCAGCACTGTCATTCACTTTTATCTAGCATTATTTTTTTGATACTTCTTTTCCTTCACTTGTAGTAACTGAAGTTGACCAATTGACTCAAATGTTTTTAGAAGGAAGACAATGTCATATAAAAACACAACTACTTAACAATTCACTTGTTTTTTTAAGAAAGTGACCTAACAGTGTTATTGTGAAAACATAAGATCTTTTCTCTCTATTAAATAATGTACAAGTAAGCTTTTGAAAGAGTTGAAAGACAGCAAGTTGAAATTCTCTGTCATAAGCTGTTACTCTTTGAAACAGAGTTCCGGCTGTATTCCAAAAGCAGCAAGAAAACTGAAAAATCTAATGCCTCAAGCCATAAATTAACTTCTAAATGTTGAAAGGACAAACTTCTTTAGTATTAATTTGCCCTAGATCTCTAAAGAAGATACTCCTATGTTCCTCTGAAACACCTTTTACAGGCCAAATTTAGAGTCATGCTGTCCAAAAGCAAAAGTAAAGACTATTCATACCAAGTATCAAGGTGCCAAAATGCTAAGATTCTTCACGAGCCTCTCAGCAAATACATGTAGGATAACACTTTCTGACTCCTGGTACCATGCTTCCCACAAAGTATTTTTATGGCATTTTGTTTAAACTTTTCTGTTTTAAAACATTACAGTTGTAAGACAGGACAATTGTTGAACTACAGCTACCTCATCCTGAGAAGCAGCAGCATATAGCATGCATGCTCACAGATCACACTATAGGCATTGCAGGGATCATATCTATCACCATTACATTTTTCCTTAAGTTCCCTGCAGTTTCTTTCCTCATCATTTTGAACACTAAAAAGCACAGCACTGTTTTTAAGTCAACCCAGTCTTCTGTTTTGACCTAATAATGAATATCTAGAAGTTGTTTTAACCAGGAAATCAGAATCCTTCTGAAAAAATACAGCTCTCAGCACATTTTTTTTGGAATGCAGGAGTCAATACAAAGCCTCTATTTACCACATCAGAAGTAAAGAAAATCATCCATTACATCTTTAATCACATCCTGATGCAGCACAGTATGAATAAGAAGGACACATAAATAATGATTCTTTTTTCATACATAGCTGAAAGAAGCCTGGAGATGAATATGGAATAAAAATAAAATTTGGAAAGACAAAGTATACAGGCTGAACAGAAAGCAATATATATATTTTTTTCCTAATCTTCAATTCTGTCTCTAATCTGCTTCTTCCCCACCAAACAATGACCTCACATCATGAGCTAGCATCTGCCTGGTCCCCTGGCTTCAGATGTCACCTCCAGTCAGCTGTATGAGGCCAGAGGTAAAGGAGCAAGCGTGGTGTGGTAGCCCTTTCTCTGGCTTCAGTGCCATGCTGCATATCAATGGCATGGGTGTTTCTATGTGTATGTTATCAGCTACATGGCAATACCTTTGATTTCAAACCTGTATGTGTCTGAAGTGCTCTAGGAAGGGGGGGCCTGTGCTTTCCATGAGGAATTGACAGGATTTCAACTGATTAATTAATTGCACAAAGTCTCTCTCTCTCTCTCTTTTTTTTTTTTTTGTTAGAAAATCCACCTTCATTCTTTCTCTACTCAGCATCTAACTTATTCTTCTGCTTTTCTCGAGAAAAGGGAACGCACAGCTCTTCCTCTCTGTTCTGACTTGAACAGATTGCAAATCAAGACACAACACTTGAGCAAAATATAATCTACTCTGGGGAGAGAGAATAGGCCTTTCTCAACCCTGGCATCTTATGCAAAGAAGGCTTAATTTGCCTTTTAGAGACGAATTCTAATGTTCATACACTTCAGATCTCTTTTGGAAGATTGTAAGTTTGGACCATGTGGATGCTGTATGATGGAACTGAAGAAATATGGTCTCTAGGCTGCTGCATAGTGTCAGAAGATACGATAATTAGACAATGGAGAAGCATAATTTATATAGACTTGTGCTATTTGCTAATTTGACATTGGGTCTCTGAGGACTAGATTAGCGAACAAGATAGAATCAAAGAAATTTTGTTTTCTTCATTGGGAGAACACATTTTTAAGTGTAATTTGAAACCAGGTCTGAGAACATTTTCAGGAGCAGCCATTCCTCTCATTTCTTGTAAAATGTCTATGGTATTATTAGAATTTAGGGCAAGGAACGTTACACTCAAGTTCTTTTTCCTTGGGGAATCTGGCACAAATTTAAATGCAATTGTCAAAACAGAAGTATCAGTAATAATTTAAATAAGATAAATCCCATTTTGCCTGCAATAGCCCTTCTGGGAAAAAAATAAAATAAAATAAAAAATTTCTGTGACAAAGAGTGTCATCTGTGATGAACTGATTTGAGTCTCTAGCTTCTTATCATCATAGAAAGTAGTTTTACACTGTACCTTGAATAGAAATGATTTCTAATTTTTTTCCCCATACAGATAAGAAATTTCAATACTGAAATCTCATATCTCTAATTTTTCTGCAGCCAAGAACAATGAAGAATTCTGTTGACTTCCAAAGAAACATAAGAAAAAATATTTTTGAAAGCGAATTAAGCTCCTTTCCTAAACATTTAGATTTGCTGTTTATTCTACAGAATATTAATAAAAAATTGATGCATTAGAAAAACACAGGGCTAAAGCGGTCTACTACAGATTTCTAACATATTTAACTCATGCATCACCATTCAGAAAGGAATTTCAAGTAGATTAAAAAAAATTGTACTTACGGTAGCTAACTCATCAAATTTGCCAAAGAGCTCATTTAGCAGCTTCACCAGCTCCTGGGCAGTGCACTGTGATGCCAAACTAGTAAATCCCACAATGTCTGCAAACAAAATGCTGTAAAGAAGGAAGAAGACACAGAGATATCAGTACAAAAGAAATCTTCACATTCTCTCTCATTACCCTCTTATAGCAAGAATGGGATCCAAAACGCAAACTCAAACAAACCACAGAATGCTATCAAAAGTGCTGCTCAGAATAAAGTCAGTATAGATCTGAAACAGTGAACTAAATAGAGGTTGGTGCTGATACCTATTGTAGACAACCATGAGAATCTCTTCAGTGCTATATACTTATCTGACAAGTACATAGAACAAAGCACCTCGTTCAAGAGTTTCCCCTCTTAGTACTTCAGGAACAAAATTGCTTCTGCTCTTTACAGATGTATTCTATTCAGCTTGATTTATCTTTTTGTACAGTTCCACAGCCAAACTGATAAACCTTGCTTGAGGCTTACTGTATACAGAAAGGCATGACCAAGTACCAAAAGGCTTGTGTATCGTAGCTCTGTGATGTGGTTTTGCTGCTCACCTGTTAGGAGCTAGCATCTGCAGTGTCAGTCTGACTTCTCTGTACTGTGCTACATGGTTCAGATAAGTGTCAAGATTCCACCAATTCTCAGCAAGTTTTTAATGTGCAAAAGTTTAATCTACCCTAATAATTCCTACCTATCTGTGAGGACAAGATACTTCCAAGGAAAACTCTCTCACTCTCTACAGTGATAGAGAGCATAACAGTTATTGTGTAGACTCTGAACCTCAAGTGAACCTGGAGCTGCAATCTTTAGAATTACTTAGACCCTAGGTAGTTCCATGGACTCAAACCCCACTGCAGAAAACTAATATTTTATACCCAACACCTAGACAATAAATGCCAAGTAAGTCTTTCTTTATGCAAATGCCAACAAGCAATCCCATCCCATATAGCCTAAGTATGTTTGATGTAGTATAAAACTTCTCTCCCAAACTGAAAATTTAAGTTAAACATTACATATTACCCCTTAATATGCTCTCTCTGTTTAGATAAAATGATAGGTGATAAAAAGACAGAACTAAGATGTTACTGCTTTCTAGTAACAAAGTCTGAAGTTTCCCTTGAAGCCACAAAACAAACAAACAAACAAACAAACAAACAAACACAAAAGCAACACAGTTCCCAGCTCAGCCTGTGCTTCCCTCAATTCATTGAACCTAGCTACCAGAGCAGATAAGGTAAGGGATCTCTGCACAAAACTGACTAATACTGAGTTAAAGGGCTTTAATCTACAAACAAAGCCTGTACGTTGCCCTGTTAACCCTCAGGTCACTTTCTCCACTCTCTTCTATTCTGAGTATATTTTTTGGAACTATTACTCAAGACTTTCTTGGTACAGGGGAAAAATAGCTATTTCATTCTATGATGCTTAAAAATGACAAAAAGACTTCTTATAATAAAATATTCAGCGTTTACCCAGCTTTACTTTGCAGTTATGAAAGTGAACCAGATTCATTACTTAATCACAAATTGTCCTCCTAAATTACTTGAGGATTTAAAAGGTATTGGAATGTGCATTGAGATCTTTCACTTAGTTTGATTTATGTTCAGCTCTCTGCTGTGTTACATCTTAACCCTTGCGCAATCTGCATTTTAACTTATTTTATATTTCTGTTTCAATTTACATGGTGGTCTACTTTTTTTTTTTTTCCTAACCACATTAAATTAACAGAAGTATCTCCCATGGAACCAACAATGTCCACTTGCAAAAGTAAACAGTTGGATTCTTTTTAGACTTTTAAAGTAAAAACAATCTGTTATCTGCTTTTAAGGTGTTTACAAATGAAAAACCCCAGTCATAACACATACACATAGAATCATATTCTTTTTCATATGAAAGTGATGCTAAAGATCACCTAGTTTCAACTCTCCTGCTACTGGCAGGTGCATCCCCAAACAGATCTAGTTGTCCAAGGTCCCATCCAGCATGGTCTTGAATGCCTTCAAGGGACGGAGCATCCACAGCTTCTCTGGACAACTGTTTCAATGCTTCGTAAAGAATTTCCTCCTAACATCTAATCTAAATCTCTCCTCTTTTAGTATAAAGTTATTATTCCTAGTCCTGATAAAGAGTTTCTCTCCAGCTTTCCTATAGGGCCCTATAAGTACTGAAAAGCTGCAGAAGAGCTCCTTGAAGCCTGTACTTCTCCAACTCTCACATACTTCCTTAGGAGAGGTACTCCAGTCCTCTGATCATCCTCAAGGCCTCCTCTGGTCCTGCTCCAACAGCTTCAAGTCCTTCTTGTGCTGGGATCCCCAGAGCTGAATGCAGTACTGCATATGGGATCTCATGAGAGCCAAGAATCATCTCCCTCCATCTGTGGGTCATGTTTATTTTGATGCAGCCCAGAATATGATTCAGAAGGTGGAAACTGGGGGAGCGATGGCCCTCCTTCTACAAGTGAAGATCAGGTTGGCAACTGCCTGAAGAAAACTGAACATCCATAAGTCTCTGCGTCCTGATGAGATGCATCCCAGAGTCCTGAAGGAATTTGCTGACAGAGTCACCAATCCACTCTCAATGATACTTGAAAAGTTATGGTGGTCAGGTGAAGTCTCTGATGACTGGAAAAAAGGCAATATAGTAATCATTTTTAAGAAGGGTAGAAAGTATGACCGAGAGAACTACCTACTTGTTAACCTCACCTCAGTTCTGGGGTAGATCATGGAGCAGATCCTCCTGGAAGCTATGCTAAGACATATGAAAGAGAAGGAGGAGATATGGAATAACCAGCATGGGTTCACCATCAGCAGGTCCTGCCTGACTAACCTTGTCTCTTTTTATGATGGTATAATTGCATCAGTGGGCAAGGGAAGACTCATTGATGTCATCTATCTGGACTTCAGTAAGGCTCTTGACATGGTCCCCTATGACATCCTTCTCTCCAAATTGGAAAGGTATGGCTATGATGGATATACTGTTTGACGGATGAGAAACTGGTTCTGAGATTGTACCCAGAGAGTGGTGGTCAGTGGCCCAATGTCCAGATAGAGATCAGTCCTTCTCTTGTTGAACTTCATGAAGTTGATGATTGTTCAGCTTTAGAATTTATCAAGATCTCTCTGCAAGGCCTCTCTACACTGGAGGGAATCAACAGCTCATCCCAATTTAGTACTGTCCTCAAAACTAGCATACATTCAAGTGCTGAGTCCTGATACCATCATCTCTAGATCAAATCATTTATTTATAAATCATTCCTATATAAACACTTGATCCTGTAAAGTATGATGGCACTGATTTTGTTGGATTGCTTTCTAAGCTTCTTAACTATCTAATAAAAATATAGAAATCTAGCAAGGCCTTGGGGACTACACAATGATGTCACTGTGATGATACACACAGCATAGGCACCATAGTGGTATTTGTGCTTTTCTCACTAGAACCTGAGATAGTTCAGTTGGATTTCACTTGCCAGCTAGCAGAGTGAAGACTAGCTAATCACAGAAATAGCTGCAAATGCAAGCTTCAGTCATAGTGAGACAAGAGAAACTGAAAATGAATCATCTGCAGCAGAAACTTTCTTCTGATCTAGAGTATTTTTGGAAAGCTAAGGGCTGAGAAGATACTGGCTTGCCAATGCTCTCCTTAAATGAAATAAGAGGTAAACATTTTGTTTCCTCTTCATCTGTGAAAGTTTCTGAATTTTTTTTTTCCATTATTGATGCTACCTACGGGGAAGACAGACTAATAAAAGTGTTTTATGTACTGAAGACTCAAAAGACTGTCATCTTCTCAGTAGGATGAATGCTCATAAGGTTAACACTCTACAATGCTAGGCAGTAGTATCCTTTGATTTAATTTCTAAGCTAACATTTACCAAGGTTCTGAGAAACCACATGCTTTGGAGGGGCCATCTCCGAAAAGTCAAAGAACAATGCTCAGAAGCTTTGAAAAGATAAATATTTAGCTTTTCTTGTTACAGAAAGGTTATCGCAGAATCACAGAATGTTCTGGGTTGGAAGGGACCTTTAAGATCATCTAGTTCCAACCTCCCTGCTTTAGGCAGGGATACCTCCCTCTTGACTAGGTTGCTCAAAGCTCAATACAGCCTGGCCTTGACTGCTTCCAGGAACTGGGAATCCATATCATCTCTGGGCAACCTGTTCCAGTGTCTGACCACCCTCACAGTAAAGAATTTCTTCCTAATATCTAGTCTAAACCTACCCTCTTCCAGTTTAAAAAAAAATTTCCCTCACCCTCTCACTACATGCCTTTATGAAAAGTCCCTCCGCAGCTTTCCTGTAGGTCCCTTTCAGGTACCGAAAGACTGCTAAAAGGTTCCCCTGGAGTTTTCTCTTCTCTAGACTGAGAAGCCCTGTCTCTCTCAGCCTGTCCTCATAAGTGAAATGCTCCAGCTCTCTGATTATCTTCATGGCCTCCTCTGGACTTGCTCCAACAGCTCCATGTCCTCCTTGTGTTGGGGGCTCCAGAACTGGATGCAGTACTCCAAGTGGGGTCTCACTAGACCAAAGCAGAGGGGCAGAATCACCTCCCTTGACCTGGTCACAATTCTCCTGATGCAACCCAGGATGCAGTTGGCCTGCTCTGCAAGTGCATGTTGCTGGCTCTTGTATATTTCATCAATTGACATCCCCAAGTCCTTTGCCTATGGGCTGCTCTCAAGCCATCCTCAACTTGTGTCTGTGCTTAACATTGCCCCAGCCCAGATGCAGGACTTTGCACTTGTCATGTTGAACTTCATGAGATTGTCATGGGACCATCTCTCAAGCCTCTCCATGTCCCTCTGGAGGGCATCCTTTGCCCCTAGTATCTCAACTGCACCACTCAGTTTGGTGCCATCCGCAAACTTGCTGAGGGTGCACTTGATCCCACTGTTCGTATCACCTATAAAGATAATAAATAACACTAGTCCCAGCATCGATCGATGAGGAACACATATCATCATCTGTATCCACTTGGACATTGAATGATTGACCGCAACTCTCTGAGTGTGACCATCCATGCAATTCCTCCATCCATCAAAACCATTTTTCTTGAGTTTAGTGACCTGGATGTCGTGTAA